ACAAACACACACACACATACACACACACACAACACACACACACACACACACACACACACACACACACACACACACACACACACACACACACACACACACACACACACACACACACACACACACACACACACACACACACACACACACACACACACACGCACACATACACACGCACACATACATACACACACACATACACACACACACACACACACACACACACACACACACACAGTGCAGAGTTTAGTCAAACCTAAAGACCTCTGTTCTGTCTGCAGCCAGGAGGAGACGCTTCGGTGAGTCACATGTGATCGGATGTTGTTGTTGTTGTTTTTGTGACGTGACAATGTCATGGTGTCTCAGTGATGTAAAAACCAGGGCCGTAGTATAAAGGGAAGTAAGGCTGTTACAAGTAAAAGTCATGAATCGTAAAGTCAGGATATTAAAAAGTTACGAACCTAAGATGTAAAGTCCTAACTAACAGGTAAAGTTCAAATTTGAGGTAAAAAGGTTACGACAATATCCATTCAATGTAGTAGAAACAAAAATAAAGAAATAAACACAGTGAGGATAAGAGTAAAAAAACAAAACAAAGTAAAGGTAAAAGCATTTAAAGAAATTTTTTATTTACCAGATTTAAACTACGTATTTCTCCGGCTCTGGTGTTGTTGTGGTCGTCAAGTAGTGAATACGTTACTTATATACGAATATGTTTATTTTTGTTTTTTTTGTTTATCTTATTTTTTGTCCCGCCTGCAGACAAACTGGATGAGATGTTGGCCGGGGGTCAACAGGAAGTGGTTCTTAGGGCCCGACCAGCAGATGACTTTAGAGCGGCGACGGTGAAACAGAGACCGACCAGCCGGCGAATCACACAGGCCGAGATTAACGTAAGACTGACATAAATATCAAATACATCTTTTACAACATTTTTGCAGAGTACCTCAGGGCCATATCCTAGGTCCTCTTCTATTTTGAGAAGTACCTCAAGGCCAAGTTACTGTTGTTTTTAATCAAGTTGCATTTTCAAAGTCTCTATTTCAGGAGTTATGGGTTTTAAAATGGGAAATATGTTGGTGCATTCTAAGATTCAAAAGTTTTATTGTCATATGCACAAAGCTACAGTGTAGAAATGACAATGACATTCTTCTGACCTGAGCTCCTCCAACAATCCAACATATATAAAAAAATACAAAAATACAAAATAAAAACTAGTGCAAAAAGTCTATATACAGTACTAAATAGAATATGGTATGTATGTAGCCTAAATATTGTGTTTTATGTGTTTGTTTCTTTAGTCGTTGTTTGAGCGTCAGGGTCTTGTTCCCCCCTCGGCTCCAGAGAAAAGCACCATGGCTTTACCTCGAGGGATGTCCAGAACCAAGAGCTTTGGTAAGAAAACAAACAAACTCTTTAAAAAAATGTAAGTACCAATACTATGATAAAGTCTTCCGTAGATCCTTGGGTTGCAGTTTTATTTTAGTACCTTTATTTTAACGTCTCGATTTCTCCCGTCAGGCACGCCTGACGATGACCGGATCTCGGCTCTGATCAATGAAAGTCGCTTTCCTCGGAGCTCCTCGCTGACGGACGGCTTCATCCCTCCCCCTCCTCAGATGGCTCCGCCTCCTCCACCCTCCGCCTCCTCCTCCACATCCTCGCTATTCCTCCTGGACTCCGGCCCCCCCCCGTCGTTCCTCCCGCCTTCTCCCCCGGCCAGAGGGGAAGGGCTAACGCGCTCCAGCTTCAAGCCGGGGGCGGAGCCTAGGCTGGTGGAGCTCTGTGATTCGCCGACGAGGAGCCACGCCCACGCTGAGCGCCAGAGGAAGGCTAGGTCGATGATCATCCTTCAGGACACGCCTCCGCCACCGCCACTTCAGCCGGACACACACTCCGGCAGCACACACGCTCTGCACACCGCCACACACACCGCCACACACACACTTCACACGGCAACACACACATCTACGCTGTCGCTGCACAGCACAAGCCCCGCCCTCGGTCACTCGCCGCTGTCACGCCGCCGAGGAAGAGCAATAGAAAACCCGTACGCTAACGTTGGACAGCAGGCGCCGCCATCCAAGCCACAGAGGAGGAAGTCACCTTTGTTGAAACAACTTCCTGTAGAGGAGCAAGGTCAGGATCGTTTACACATGTTTTCTGTTTTGTTGTGTACAATTTCCTGATGCATGATGGGATGACAATGCTCTGATTGGCTAAAATTGTAGCACACAGTTAAATATGTCGAGTTGAAGGAGTGTGCTTCAAAACTTCACTATTTAGTACTTGGCGGATCAAAACAAACCAGCCAATCAAATGTATTCTTGTTTGCTCAAATTTAAAGACAATTTACTTGAAAGTTGTTTCTATTCATGGGCATGCAAAACACATTTCAGTCTGCTGAAAATGTCCTGATTGGGATTGACACAAATATAAAGCCTTAAACTTCTAATCTTCAATCCATCGGTGTAACTATTTGCTATTTTTCTTCTTCTAGGAATAAAAGACCAGGACTTATTGAAACCAGACGGACCCAGCAGCCCCAGTCGGGCGGAGATGTACCAGCAGCAGGTTCTCTCAGAGCGAGCCCGGGTTCAGGGTCGGAGGTCGTCTCTCTTCCTGTCCGTCGAAGGATCTGGGTCAGAGAATCAGGTGACACTCCTAACTCTGAGCCATTCGATGGACGATCTTGGCGAGCTTCCTCCTCCAGCCCCGGTCCTTTCACCATCACCGACGCCTCACACCTTCCTCCACCCACTGACCGGGAAACCACTAGGTCAGTCTTGACTTACCATAAACTTAACCATAAGCGATAACCAAATGATAAATAGGTGCCAGGGTACCAGGAAAGTCAACTGGCCTCAAGGTACTACATTCGGTAAAAGAGGACCTAGAAGAAAGTCTTGGGACAGATCCTTAAGGTACCTCAAGAATGTAAAAAGTACTAAGCACATACCCTTGAGGTACTTCACAAAACAATACAGGATCTAGGACAGAGCCTTGAGGTATTCAGCAATATGATGAATGCATGAGTAAAGACAAAAGGAACTAGAACACGACCTTCAACAGTGACTTGAGGTACAAAACTAAATTGAAAAACAAAATTGAAAGGGTAGCAAGAAAAGAGCCTTAAGATACTACGCAAAACTTGAAAGAAACTAGTTAAGAGCCCTGAGGTACTCCAAAGAACAGAACCTAGGACAGAGCCTTGAGGTACTCCACAATGTGATGAATGCATGAGTACCTCCATTAAAGAGATAAGGAACTAGAACAGGACCTATGACAGTGACTTGAGGTACAACACGAAAAAGAAAAAGCCATATGACAGGATCTCTAGGTACTTCCAAAAAAGAGAGGAGGACCTAGAAAAGAGCAACAAAATTGAAAGTGTAGCAAAGAAAGAGCCTTACGATACTACGCAAAACTTTAAAGGAACTAGAGAAGAGCCCTGAGGGTACTCGAAAGAGCAGAACCTAGAACAGAGCCTTAAGGTATATATAATAACGCATTAAAACCGATCCATACTAAATCATTTCTTGTCTCTTCAGACCCCTCGTCTCCACTCGCCCTGGCTCTTGCTGCACGAGAACGAGCGCTCACCGCCCGAACCCCGAGTCCAGAGCCTCGACATAAACACGGATCTGCCTCACCTATCCCCACCCCTGCAGCCAGTCCAGATGGACGACACAAGCGCACCCCTATCCCCACCCCGCAGGGCAGCCCAGAGCCTCGATCCAAGCGCACCCCCCCTCAGACGAGCCCAGAGCAGCGAACAAAGCGTACCACCCCTCAAACCAGTCCGGAACTGAGGCACAAACGCATAACGCCGCCTCTGTTCCCCGACGGACCGGTGGAGCGTCCGGAAACCGAGGGAGGAGTTACATCGCCTGCCGCTCCATCGCCCGAGCGTTGGAGACCGACCCCTTTGCCACCGCTGGCCAATGAGAGTCACGCCGCTCTGATTGACAGGCGCAGGAGCCTAACAGTGGGCAGCTCCGAGGAGGAGGGCGGGGCTTATACGGTAACACTCCCGCCGGCGTTATTGTCGTCAAGCGATGAGGAAACCAGGGAGGAGCTTCGCAGAATTGGCCTGGTTACTCCCCCCGCTGCCTTCGCCAGCCCTCCCCCTCTTCCTCCCCCATCCTCCCTCACTCTGTTGACTCGACGAGGCGGGGAGGGAGGGGGAGGAGATCCTGACTCTCTAGGTAGACGAGGTGATGAGGATGAAAGTGACGAACGTCTACATGACAGCTCTTCCCCCAGCTCCCTCCCTCCCTCCATCACCTTGGCCTCCCCTCCTGATCCATCCTCCCCCTCCTCCCCTATAGCTACTCACCCATCCCCTTCCTCCCCCACCACCGCCCCATCTGTTTTGAAACCACGCCTTCGTTCACCGTTAGGTCGCGGTCGCTCCACGCTCCGTGATCCTCTTCTGAAGCAATCATCAGACAGTGAGCTCCTCCCGTCTGCTGCCTTTTCCTCCTCCCCTTCCTCCCCTCTCTGTTCCTCACCCACTGGTGGAGGTGGACGTCAGCCTCGTTATCTTTTCCAGAGAAGGTCGAAGCTTTGGGGCGGCGGGGATGACGATCGTCGGGGATTCAGCCCGGATGAAGGCGGCCGTCCAGCGGCATTCGGGGGTCATATTGCCGGGTCAGCTGTGGATCTGAGCAACCGGTCGTCTTCGGCTCTGGAGCTGAGCGGCCGGGCCGGGTCTGGACTGGATCTGGTGAATCGGCTACAGCTGCTCAACAAAGACAGTCATTCTCTGGGGGAGGAGCCGAGTCCCCTGGATCCGGGCCGGAGGTCGCCAGTAGGAGGTGCCAGGTACTACAAACTGCCTTTAAAGGTCTCCTATTATGCAAAATGCATTTTTGATGTCTTATATACATAAAGATGTGTCCCCGGTGTGCCGGGGAACTCACAAAGTGTCAAAAAATAAAACCCTCTCTCTTTTCCTCCGTACCCAAATCTCTAAAAACGGGGGAACAACGGAGCTGATCCAGATTTGCTGCTGATATGATATGACGTAATATCGGAAATGCGGACTCACGGCCCTATCAGAAAGTTGCTGTCAGAAACAATGCCCGACTGTTTTGGACGTAATATGGTCTTTGTTCACATTAGCATCGCTAACACTCAGAGCCAACCTGTACTGGAGAGCATGTGTGTGAAGAAGCTGGATATAAAAAAGGAACTCACCTTGTGGTATAACCGGCAAGAGAGAAAGCCTTTGAGCTCCATACTGTTTCAGAGATAATCCTTGATAATCAATGATATGGCGTTT